AAGGAAGGAAGGAAGGAAGGAAGGAAGGAAGGAAGGAAGGAAGGAAGGAAATAGGCATTTAGTAAGTGCCTAATGTGTGCTAGGTGCTGTGCTAAAAGCGTTACAAGTATTATCTCATTTAATCCTTACAATAACCTTGAGAGGGAGGTGCTATTATTATCATCACCATTTTACAGTTGAGGAAACTGAGGCAGACAAAGGTTAAGTGACTTGCCCAAGGTGATACAGATAGTAAGTATCTTAGTATCAGGTCTTAAACTCAGGTCTTTCTGACTCCAGTCCTAGAACTCTAGCCCCTTCTTTAACCCATGATAGAGATGGGGAAATTAATTGGTCATCATTTTCTTCATATGTTCTGCCACCACTATATCTACCTTCCCTTGGTCTTTACTTCCCTGTAAAGCCCACAAACCCTATAAAATATTCTTGAACACCTAAATAATAGCTCTCTTGCCACATACCAGTCTAGACTTTTCTGAGTGAGCATGATCCCTAAAATATCTGATGAAGAACACGACTCCAGGCCTGTCTCATATTAGAAGTTGCCCTCTGCGGTTCATCTCTCTGACACTGGCAAATGTGGTTAAGACTGGTAGAAACTTCAGAAAAGTGTTTTGTATGGGGTTGTTTTTAAACTTTTGTTTTGTTTTAATTGGGACAGCTAGGTATTGCAATAGATGGAGTAGTAGCTGTGGAGTCAGGAGGACCTGAGTTCAAAAACGAGCCTCAGACACTTACTAGCATTGTGACCCTGGGCGAGTCACTTAATGCTGTTTGCCTCAGTTTCCTCATCTGTAAAATGAGCTGGAGAAGGAAATAGCAGACCACTTCAGTATCTTTGCCCCAAAACCCTGAATGGAGTCACAGAGTTAGGCACAACTGAAAACAACTAAGCAACAATTTTAAAAATTATGCACAAATCTTATGTATTTGCATTGTTTAAAAAAAATTCCTCTTCTTCTTTGGCATATTTGTGTCTTCTCTTTACAACCTTTCCTGCTTTAGCAGTCTTTTGCTCCTAAGTGTAGAAGTCTCCCTTGGTTCTGTCTTTAGTCCTCTTCCTTTATATTCTTTCCTTGCATTCTTTTTTCCTTTTTTTTTTAGTGAGGCAATGGGGTTAAGTGACTTGCCCAGGGTCACATAGCTAGTAAGTGTTATGTGTCTGAGGCCAGATTTGAACTCAGATCTTCTGAATTCAAGGCCAGTGCTCTATCCACTGCACCACCTACCTGCCTTCCTTGCATTCTTTTACTCCCAATGCTTTATTTTTCATCTGTATTCTAGTTATTTACTGATTTATATAGTGAACCTTAATCTTCACCCTCAGTTTCAGTCCTGCTTTTCCCATGGTTACTGAATATCTTTACCTCCATATATCACTGATATACTCCACACAGCTGTAAATAAACTCATCATCTTTCCCAGATCCTAGCTCTCCCTCAAACATCACTATTTGTCTTAACATTATCATCTAAAGGTAAGTAAGGTGTATCAGTGGGTAGAGTGCTGCACATGAAATCAAGAAGACCAGAGTTAAAATTCTACCTCAGACATTTATTAGCTATATGATCCTGGGCAATTCATTTAACCTCTGTTTGTCTCAGTTTCCTCATTTATAAAATGGGAAATGATCATATCGCCTACCTCCCATGGCTGTTGTGAGGCTATCATGGGATAATATTATAAAGCCTTTTGCAAGCCTTAAAGTTCTATATAAATGTTGTGGTTATCATCATCTACATCACCACCACCATCATCCTTTCTGTATTCAGGATCTAAATTTACCCATCTTTGACTCTTCCCTCTTCCTTTCTTGCCAGGTCCAGTTGAATCTACCTCTATAACATTTCGCCTCTCCTGCACAAATGCTGCCACCATCTTAATTCAGGGCCTCATTATCCCTCATCAGAGCTATTATAATAGCCTTTTAACTGATATCTCTGCCTCTAGTCTAGCCTTTTTATAATTAATCTTTCACAGTTTGCCAAGATGATCTTCCTTATGAATGTGCCTGATCATATTGCTGCCCTGCTAAAAAACCTTTATTAGCCTCTTTTATTTCCTGTATGATTAAATACAAACTAGTTAACACAGCATTTTAGGCTTTCCATATTCTGGTTTCAGCCTTTTTACTAGTTCCCTACCTGTATTCTACATGACAAACTGGACTTCTAAGTGGCCTCTGATTTCATCATCCCCTCTCCTACTTTTCTGTTCACTCAAGGTCTCTGCCTCAACACCAAATCCTCTTCCTTCAACTTTACTACCTCCCTGATGCCTCTGATACCCCAGCTAAACCTTCTGTTATCATCCTTCCTTTGTGCTTAATACATTCTGTCTTGACCATACTTATTAATATCTGATTCCCTTCTATTTAATTGTGTGTTTCCTAAAACCAGGTACTGAGTCATATTTCATCTTTGATCCTTAGTGCCTAGCACAGTACCAGGCACAATTATTTTATGACCTATGACTTCATCATTGGAGTGAACTCTCATTGTGGAAACTCTATTCACTGATGCAAATTATAGTCATGGAGAGTTGCCTGGGCCACTGAAAGATTATGATTTGCCCATGGTCACGCTATTAGTATGTGTGAGAAGTAACATTTAAACCAAAGTCTTATTTATTCCAAGTTTTGTCTTCTAAATACCATATTCTTCTTCCTTTCAATTTGTACATGGTTTATATTCAAGTTTTTTTGAATTAATTTTTTTTAAAGACTATGAAGACTATGGGGATTACTGGAGAGCAGATTATGAAATTGAAGGATCAAGTGAATCTCACTATAGTCGTTCTCAGCTGATTGAAGATGTGGAACAAATCTTTCTCCAGGTAGAAAACAGTTCAAGGATGTCACTTAATTCGCAGCTGCCCTGCAAATTGGGACCACATACACAGGCTGATGGTGGATGAGTAATTAGAACAGAGAAATAACATCCTGTGGAATTCTTTTTTCTTTCCATCCTTCCCAATTCTTTCTAGGCGTCCTCAATTCATAAGCTTATAGAATTTTATCACTGGAAGAGTCTGAGGTTATCTAGTCTAATTCAGTTTGTCAACTTCTGCAGGTGAGGAAAAGGTATGGAAGTGCCTACCATTACTCACTGTTCCTTATTTCTCTTCTGCTCTTAAACAGTGACTGAAAAATGGGAATAAGAAAGTTATTGAAACAGTCCCTTGGCCTTTTCTTCCAATGGTATTTCCTTCCCACCTCCAACCCTTACTCTTTTTCTTCTTCATTCATTTTTATTTTTGGCCTGAAGAAGGGTTCAAGGGAGTCCCTATGGACAATTTGCAACAGCTTCCTTTCCTTACACACTGACTCCTAGACTTTCCCTCCAAACATCCCCCTCCAGGCAGCTCACATTGTCTTATCCAATCCCCTCTTCTTAAAGATGAGAAAATGGAGCCCCAGAAGTGTTCATTGACTTGCTTAAGGTTTACCCAGGTCAGGCTGGGTTGTCAAAAATAAAATCAGGCAACGTCCTAATAATGATGTATTCCTTCAGAAGAGTTCTGGGTATAAATCCATAAATCTAAGCTTGGGGTGGAATGAATTGCTATAAAAAACGAATAGAAGATATACCTTTGGTTTCTTCAGATTTCTCAGAGTGGGAGAAGAATTTTCCTTATACACTAGTAGTGTACAACAAAGCTCCAGTTTCTGGAGTCAGAGACATGGGAGGAGAGGATGAGCTGCTATTTACTTTGGTATCCTTCATATTTTGTTGATTTTTTTTCCAGATAAAACCACTGTATGAACATCTGCATGCCTATGTGAGGAGAAGGATGATGGCCACCTATGGCCCTCTAATCAGTGAAACTGGGGGTCTTCCTGCTCATTTGCTTGGTAATAAAAGGCAGTCTACCATGTTTTTACTATTTATTTAAATCAGTCATGTGGTGTTTATTGCTTTTGGGCACAGGGACAGACAGAGTCTTAATGAGGGAGTTGAAATTTATAGGGGCTGATTGCATTTCCCAAGCCTCTAGCATCTAGACATAATTGAACCAGCATCTAGTTAGTAGGCATGATTAATCAAAATAGGAAGCCATTCCCCCAGAGCAGCATCCCTGTTTCCCAGGATCTGATCTAACCCCTGTTCTCCCAAATTAAACTCATCTTCCCATTTAATTTATTCTTAAAAGTTTATTTGAAGGCTCTTATTCTGCAGGTTTGTCCCCAAGTTGAGTTTTATGAAGTTTGCCTCAGACACATCACAAAGTTGCTAGTTATAAATCTAAGGTAAAAAATCTTTGATGAATTCCACGACCAAAGGGGATTTTGTACCAGAAGGAAGCCACAGTTCAAACGACATCCCCCACAAACTGCCCCTTTCTCAGAGGATCCAATAGAAATAGTTCTGTCCTGTGTCTGGAGCCCTTGGGTCAAAGTTTCTCATCAATGAGTCAATCTGCAAGCATTTATTAAGTCCGTACGGTATGCCAGGCACTGTGCCAGGCATATGCTGGGTCAGGAACTAGAGATACCAAAATGAAACAGACTGTTATCCTCGAGGACCTTATATTCAGTTGGGGTAGCCAACCCAGAGATTTTTCCCACTTCTTTTGGTGCCCATTTCGTCACCTAGTAAACTTCAAAAACAAAACAAAACAAAACAAAACAAAAACCACTGCATCCCTCAAGTACTTAGTTTACAGTATTGCAAAACAAAGCGTTTTTTATATTGGAGGAGAAAGTTTTATTGAATGAGTAAAAGATACAAAACCTAGAAGTCTTGACTAGGCAGCCCTTGCTCCAAAGATTCTGAATGTCTCTATGCCCTTTTAAAGAAGTCCCAGGTATCAGGATTCCTCTGCTTGGGGAGTGGCAGGAGGCTCCCTTCACAAGTCACGTGTTCTCTGCTGCCCTCTTCTGTCAGTTTATTGAATTCCTGTTTTTCAGTCTTTTTTCAGTCATGTGCAACTCACAGTGACCCATTTGGGATTTTCTTGGCAGAGATACTGGCATGATTTGCCATTTCCTTCTCCAATTCATTTTATAGATGAGGAAACTGAAGTTAAAAGGGTTAAGTGACTTGCCCAGGGTCACACAGCTAGTAAATGTCAGAGGACAGATTTGAACTCAGGAAGATGAGTCCTACTGACTCCAGGCCTGGCACTCTATCCACTGTGCCACCTAGCTGCCACTTACTGAACTCTACCAGTGGTTAAAGTGAGATTCCCAGCAAGATGTGCAGCTGCAAAGCAAGAGCACTCCCCGCAATAAATAAACAAACAAACAGACAAACAAATAAATAAATGAATAAATAAATAAATAACCATAAGAACTTTCTCTTCTTGCAAGAGAAGAATAGATCAGAATCATCCAAAGTTCTCATTGTCTGGATGGAGTTGCATCCAGATTGAGAGCTATCCTCTAATTAAACTTATTCCCCCTACAAATATGATATTACCTGTTATAGTCTCTTGTTAATGTTAGTTTCATGAGAATCTTCATCGCCAAACTTGAGTTTATGTGAGGTTACCAGAATCCTGTAGCTTCCAACATGAAGAATGGATGCCCCCCTCCAGGGAATGCTTTTTATTTGTGCAGAAGCTACTTTTTCTGCTTCATTTTAAGCACTTAGGTGTGAATTATTTAAAATATCTAAGGCTGTCAGTATTATCTGCTAGTTATTAGCCCTGTCTTGAGTAGGGAATGTGATTCACCAGCAGTTCCTAAAGCATGAATAACCATAGACCACCTGTGTTGCACGTAAGCTCAAAGGAGAGATAAAACTATGACCCAGAATTCACTGTATACTATACTGTGGACCTCCTTCATGTCATCAGTTTCAGGCATGGGAGAAGTTGGGAGAATGGAGTGTGCAGAGGTAGGCAGACCAAGGAGAGCAAGAGCATCTCCTTGCTCAGGTAATCCTGTGCTCTGCTGGGAGGGAATTGGCCCTTCCCTCTTTTTGTTTACAACTTTAGATAAGAGTAATGCATTATGGAATAGTGAAAATAGCTTTGGATATAGAGTTAGGAGGTATAAGGTCAAATTCTGGCTCTGATAGTTACTAACATTGTAACTATAGACAATGTACTTCACCTTGCAAGCATCTCTTCATATCTAAAATGGTGATGATAGTAACTACACTATTATCTAAGCATGGTATAGTGCAGTGGTTTTAAAATCAGAAAGGGATTCCTGTGGGCCACATTTTGACTTAGAAAACTACAAATTAGCATTATCCATGTCGTGTTGTATTTTTATTTATTTTGTTAAACACTTTCCAATTACATTTTAATCTGGTTTTCACCACCACTACTCAGAGAGTTTTGTAAGATGTAGACAGTTGGCTTTAAAACCAGGAAGACCTGGGTTCAAATAGTGAACAGTGAATAAATCCATTTATCTAAGCAAATATGAACAGAAATTGGAGTTACCCAGACTAGAATATAATAGGAAATACACATAGTTAACAAACGTCTCCTCGAGGAGTGAGCTCAATCAAGTGAGAGACCCCATTTTCACCCTATAGGAAATTCCCCTGACATATCTAGAGATGCATGCTAGACATCAGAGACATGTTGAGGTGCTGTCTCTCCCTACACACCAACAAAAGAGTCTCTTTTTTCCTACTAAAAAGAATCTATCTGAAGCCATGTATATCTCTCTTGAAGAAGCAATGAAGAATGCTTCTTATCTTCAAAGCGCTCTTGCCAACTCTATCCCTCATGTCAGCATTCTCTCTTCCAGTTAGGAGAATCTAATGCAAAAATCTTCAAGCTTGGCTGGAAATGTGGGTTCCATTATTTATTATCATTAATAATTATCAACCAATAGTCGTTTAGTACGTCAATCTGCAATTTGTAGACATAAGTACTCCGTCTGTTGATGCTGATTACATCCTCTCTGTGACAAAGGAGGTGGCCATTCAACTTTGCTTTGGCTTAAAAAATCATTATCTTGAAGTTAACCTCGTCATGAGCCTTTCAGGATTTAGCTGAACTGGACAATAAACATCACCAAGCTGTGTACTATTACCTACTATGTACAAAGCACTGTGCATAGAAAGTAAAAAAGAAATAGTCCTCCTCAGAAGGACTTTATTTAATGGGTGTTGTTGGACCAAGGGATAGTGGAATATAAAGAGGAGAAGCTCTGAGTAGAAATTCTTTCTCCCCACAACATAAACTCCGTTGGGCTGAGATGGGCCTAATAGTTAATTGGAAGCCTCCGAACAGATTCATTCCAACATTTCCATATAATTTTGATGTTTTTAAACTTTATTTTACCTGCTTTGATGGTTTTATGGATGGTAGAAGAAAACATAAGGAAAGGGAGAAGAAGGGGTAATTAAGTTGAGAACTTGGGAGGTGAGTGGGCAAGTAAGAAAGCATAATTTTTAAAAGTCCTAAGTAAGGCCTGGAGTGTCATGAACCTTCTTCAGGCATTACTTAGAGACTGTGATTATTTTTCTGTTGCCTTTCTTATGTACTTTGCTGGGCTTTTCTTTATTACAGGTGACATGTGGGGCAGATTTTGGACAAATCTATATTCACTGACAGTGCCCTATTCAGGAAAACCAAACATTGATGTGACTCAGGCCATGAAGGACCAGGTAGCTTCAACCCAGTTTTTGTAAATTTGAATTTTATCTTCATCTTATTTTTTAATGCTCTCCTGCCTATCCTGTTCTAGTCATTGATATGCAAAGCTGTGTAAAAATGTATAAACATTTCTAGACTAATTTAAAGTTTTCCCAATGTGGCATTTTTCCTTTGGAAAATTAGATAGTATTGATATTTTGACTCTCAGAATCATTGGCCTTGAGTTCCTTGAAAAATAGGTGTAGCATTGATTCTTGCTTCATGATGTTCAATTTCAGATTTCCCTGTATTTTCCAAAGACAGAGATCATTTTGATTGATTGTTTGACATCAATATTATGAGATCGTTAATAATTGTCTAACAGTCATTAGTAGAGCAGAATACAAGAATACCACTTGGACAGCTTTAGATACTTACTAATATTTAATTTGTATGAAATTAAAGCCAGGAAACTTGTCCTTGGAGTGAACAGCTCCCTTCCGTTAGTGAGTTCTGATTTGGTATCCACACAATCATTCATCCTGGGTTGATTCTAGAACCAGCAACAATAGCCAAGGTGGTGTGGGTCCATCCAAAGGGAAAATCAGACCAGAAGTCCTGTGAGATGTTATCATCTTTTGGTCCTGTCATTATTCAAGAATAGTGACTTAATCTGTGATTTCATTCATACTGGGAAATCCCAGATAAAAGAAATCTCCCTGTATTAATTGAGGTCAGCACTTCTGCATCTTGTATGTAGTCTCAGAGGGTTTCCAGGAGCACTGACAGGTTAATGATTTGACCAAGGTCACTCTGCCAATATGTATCAGAGGTAGGGCTTGATCTTAGTGGCTGTAAGGTCAGCTCTCTATCTATTGTGCCATGGTGCCTCTTTGCTGTTATCTACTTAGCAGAATCCTCACCCAGAGAAAGGACAAATGGGAAAAAAAACCATGAGAATGTAACTTTTCTCTGTGATTAAAAGTTACTCTTGGATGTTTCTTCAGAACAATCCAATTGGATTTTAGAATTAGATGATGACTTTACAGTAGGCAAAGTCCATAGTTGGCAAACCCCAGCGGTAGTTTCCCCATTCCAATCCCTCTCTGAAGTTCCAATGTCTAGGCTATCCCACACGTCACTGGGTTGTATTCAGCTTCCTATCAGGCCATGGGATGTGGCAGAACCCCAAGCACCATCATATCCCCTTTTTAAACCACAAATGGCTTTATGAACCTTCCCTAAAACACTCTCTACATACTAACTTGATGTTCTCAAATCTTTCAGAATTGGAATGCACAAAGGATATTTGAGGAAGCTGAGAATTTTTTTGTATCTGTTGGTCTCTATAATATGACGGAGGGTTTCTGGAAAAACTCAATGCTCACAGAGCCTAATGATGGCAGAAAAGTGGTTTGCCACCCTACAGCCTGGGATCTGGGAAAAGGGGATTTCAGGTATTGGTATCTGATGCTCATGTTTCTCAGAGAGTTTAGTTGGGAGAATGAACCTAGTTCTGTCAGCCCAGTGGTCCAAGAGACTGGTGGAAAGATGTAGCATTGTTTGGAGGCAGAGGAAGTAAGTGGGTATGAGATCACTGTCTGTTTTGTGGTCCTGATAGCATTTTTGTAGGCTTGCTGATCTTGAAAGGCTATTGTCAGGCTTCTTTAAAAAATATCATTCATGAAGTCCAAGGTCCAAGCAACTGCATTGTGATCAAGAGTGTAACTAGTTTTAATTTGCATTTGTATCGTTTGTTTTCAAATAATCTTCATTTTGTTTTTCATTTTCAAATCATCTTCATTTATAAACCTATCCCCCATTCTCCTAAACAGAAACCCATCCCTTATAAATAAAAAAAGAAAGAGAAAAAAAAGAAAAAATACTCCTGTAGAACTAACTGAAACAGCAGCTGAGTATGACAATATATTTGGTGTTCCACACCATAGTCCAGTATTCCTTCAGTGAAGGGAGTGTTTTTTTAATCTTTTCTTTGGTTCTAAGCTTTGTCATT